GATGGAGGTCTCTTGCTCCATATAGTAATTTTGTCATTTCATTCTTTCCGTGTCTCCAAAGGCTCCATCTTCCCATCCCATAGACCCCCGGACACTGTCTTCAAAATTACTTTCTGGCTTGGCTACTTAAATAGCTGCCTCAACCCCATCATCTACCCGTGCTTCAGTCAAGAGTTCAAGAAGGCCTTCCAGAACGTTCTCCGTGGCCACTGCCTCAGCAGAACACACAGGATCTGGAGCCCTCCGGCCTCTGCTCGGGACCCTATGCATGGCCCCAAATCTCCACAGGGTTTCCCATCTACATCTACTGACTCCTGGGGGCCTACTAATGCATCGCCTACCGCAAATAAGAACTCATTTACTGCACATAGCAACAGTGCCCTGAATGCACCTGAAACATCTCTGACAATGAAAGTTCATCAGGTTTCCATATGCAAGATGGACGGTGAGGCTGTATGAAATGTTTTTGAAAGAATAAAAGATAACTTTTCAAAGGAGTTTACAAAGACAAGGTTGTGAGCCTGGAACACGAATGACCAGAGATCTGGCTAATTCTCGTATACAGGAGCACCACCTTGTGGCAACATCTATAATATGCATCTGCACTTTTGTGAAGTTTAACTGTGAGGATTCATACTTTGGAATGTAAAAAAAAAAAAAACACTTGGTAATGAAATGATTGTGGACAAAACCATTTGAAACAATTTTTTTTTTGTAAGGTCTTCAAAACTTGTGCAAATACAAATACACTCCAAGAAAAGTCCAATATACTGGCCATGTGCTCCCAGAACACAGTCATCTGGTGGCCCTCCTGGGCACACCCGCTGCAGACTGCGACAGTGGTATGAAGGTTGAAGTATGAAGATTTTTTACATGTTTGTCCCATATTTTGAATTACGCGCTGCATTGTATTGTTTTTTAGAGTTGAAGGAAATGTCTGTAAACTGAACAGAAATTGTACTGGTAATTTTCTGCCGAGACGATATTAATTTTTCTACATTTTTTTTTCTTAGAGTGTACAATGGGGTCCAAAAGCTGTGGAAACACTTGTTTTGTAATATTTTTCATATAATCTTAGAAAATAGTCAATTTAAACCTCAAAATAGACGTTAGATTTAAATATATGTATGTGTATGTATAGTTCAAATATCATAAATCTCATGATGATGATCAAATTTGATGATATAATGATAACAGACTACTAAAGGATTCAGTATGTGTTAGTGAGATGCATTAGTCTACTTAATTCTGGTTTCCTGATTCAAAATTATTTTTATGTAAATTGTACAAATGGCTGAAGTTTAAGAACACAGAAGAGAAAATGTCTCTTTTTTCCCCCTTTTATTAATTTTCCTTTTTTCCCCATCACCATCCAAGGGATTTGACACTTTTAAAAGCAAGCAAACATCCTCAAACAGCACAGCCAACAGAATAAACACCAGCACACAACATGTTCACTTCTGGATTGGGGAAAGAGAGGGTTTGGGATTATAAATCATTGGCAATCTCAGATTGAATGACCTTTTCAGTGCATCTGCATTTTAGATTACATACCACACGTAGAAGAACATAGCAAGCGTACATAGCAAAGTATGTGTGTGTGTGTAGTATTAGTGCCAACAGCTGCTCTGGGATCAGAGGAAATGCTTAAGGCATGTTTCATTTGAACTCTTGCATAATGTCTCGATAAGGAAAAGACAAGGAAATCTCACATGCCTTATGCCATATATTCACACCAACTTCAATTAAATGAAATATCTGAACATGTTTGTCTTGTTTTAGACCTATTTAAAATAAAAAGTAATCATATTTATTTTAGAAGCAAGATTGTGGAGAAATGCAAATACATATAAAACAAAATGTTAAATAAAATGTGGATGTTGATTTCTCTGAATATATCTTGAATGACATGTATACCTTAACCATTTAATTCTGATTACCTTCTCAATAAGTTGGGTAGGCTACTGTATATGGTTTGTATTACACTGTAATTACAATTCAGTTGAAATGATCCAGCCATTCAATGTTGTTTTAATAGCACCAGCCCCAGAAGGGTTGCTAAGGGCATGCTTCTGATGTGTAATGTGTTGCCATGACAAATAAAAGAGCCAGATCCTGTTGACTAGCAGAGACAGTCGTCATAGGAACAGTGGAAAAGCAACGAGGTCAGCAAGAAACAAAAAAAGAAACAAGAAGAAAGAAAACAATCATAACAGTCATGAGGTGATAGACTCTACAGGGCCTGCAGCGGCCGGCCGTTATTAACACATTAGTCCGTGCGAACAGACCACTTGAATTATTATAACCTCGCGTCACCCTCCGTTCCAACAGCGCGCGCAGTCTGTTTCTCCTGCTGATCGCTGTAGTTTCCTGCATGTTAGTAAAATATGATATGGGAGAAAAAACTGTATTTAAATACTTTTGTGTTCACTCGCAAAACTTTAGCGCGCTTTTGGAAAAGTATTGCATTTCCAGAGAAATTGTTCATTCGCTCGCGCAAAAGTATAGCGTTCTACCAAAAAAAACAAACAAACAAAAAGTTTGCGTCCACTCGTAGAACTTTATAGCTTGCAGAAGTATTTGAATATAGTTTTCCCTCCCGCCGCATGTTGTTAACATTATATTGTTTTGCGAGTGAACGCCATGTTTCTCAGGAGAACGCAAAGTTTTGCAAGCGAACGCAAAATTTCTCGAAGGAACGCAAACGTTTTTGCAAGAGAACTCGAAAGCAATGAGACAGGCCTGTTACAGGCCTGTAGTTCTTCCTCCCATTTCATTTTACTAAACTTCAACATGACTAAAGTTTGTACGAGTGAACGCAAAGTTTCTCAGAAGAAAACGTTCGAAAACTTTCTCTGGGGAACGCAAAAAACGAACAAAAGAGAGAGAGAGAGAGAAAGAAAGAGAGAACTTGAAAGCTTTCTCCTCCAACCTTACTAAACTTTAACATCACTAACGTTTTGCAAGCGAACTCGAAAGCACTGACATCCCCAACAGTTTCAGTAGCATATATACAATAACAAGCAGCACTGAATATGTCAGTTTAAACCCTGTCAGCGTTGGAATGAATCGCTTGTTTGTGTGTGTGTGTGTGTGTGTGTTGTTGTTGTTTCTCTGTGTTGAGTCGCAGAGGAAAAGGCAAGCAATGGATGATGTTACAGGCCAAGATTTTGCCGATGTTCAAGAGGGAAAAGAAAACAGCTGGAGGACGGATTTACTAAATGAAAAACAGACTACAAAAAAGTCCTGCCGTTGCTAATCCATAGTGAGATTTAAGCAAGGCACAGTGAAACCAGTTAAAGCCTTTTTATTACTATTTTAACTTACTATGCCTTCTTTGCCTGAGATGAACGCTTTAGCACAGTTCACAAAATGTGGATTATCGTTTCTTTAAGAGTTTTGTTGCGATATCTACATGCTGTACTCTAAATGTTGGCAGATTTAAAACGTCTTTCTCCTAACTGCAAACCAACCAAAAATATTGATGACTCATCTTGTACTACACAGATTTTTATCCAATCAGATGCTCTCTACAGTGACAGTGTCCCTCCCTCAATTCCACAACCGACTAGCATTAGCAAATACCATAATAAATGACTGACATAGCCTGCCTAAAGCCTGGTTCTTTTAAAAGAGCTGATCCCAGTGTGTCCCGTCCAAACTTCTTGTTTCAAAAGGAAATGTGTCAAACACAGGAGAAGAAACCGGACACTGTGCTAGCTGTATTAGCTCAACTTAGAGTACTAGCTGCTCAATGCATTGCCCTTTGGGTTTTTATGGCATGTTTTTCAGGTTTCCAGACCAACTTGGAAGAAAAACAAACAGATTAACAATTTCTCATTCATTCGTTGATAAAATACAATAACACCACGAAAACATGGAGCTGCCACAGGCACAGTTGTTGAAAATCACCTTTAACCTTTAACTTTTATTTATATGATATTATTACAGGATGCAGCATATTACCACGGCACTAAAATGGATGTCGACATTAAAAATGGCGCTGTGATAACTCATACTTTAAAAAGCACTATGACGAGTTAAGAGAAAAATCTGGCACCTTTGAATCGGTTAACCGGCTATTTTACATTTAACAGCCTGAGTTGTTTTCGAACAAAAAACATGAACAAGCTCTTGTAGAAGTACTCAACGTGATCAGTACATCTCAGGCACAGCTTGGAGTTAAAGATACAAAAAAGACACATTAGCGTAAGGTTTGCGATATCACATTTGTTGACATAGAAAGTAGCGACACAGTCACTCAATACCATAAAATCTCATGACTCACATGGCACATTCGTTTTGCGCCGCGACCAAACAGAACCATATATCTGGGGGTTACTCTTAGTCCAAAGTATACTTAGTACGCGTGGAGCCCAATTTTTGTAATCGCATTCATTTAGCTCACACATGCACATTCACACTAATTAATTTGTCCACAAGGGGACAACATGTGTAGTTTTTAGTTAATTGTAGTCCGCATGTATCGAGTTTGCGCACGCTATCAAATGAAATATACTTTGAAAGGCAACATGTTCGGCTGTAAACATATGCCAAGTGTTCGCGTCATCACTTAAGTATACTTCGGGCTTTAGTGCATTTGGAAATTGCTACCAATTTCACATATTGCACAGCATTTTCTTAAGCTAACTATGGAAACTAAAAAGAAATTGTGACTTTTTTCTGCCAATTCTGAGAAAAAAAGTCTTGCAAGAATTGCAAGATATAACTAAACTCAAAATTCTGACTTTCTTGCAATTCCGAGTTTACATCTCGCAATCGAGTTTATATATCGCAATTCTGATTTTTTTTCCCCCCCAAAAAAATTCTGATTTACATCTCACAATTCTGTTTTTTTTCTGTATGGAATAAAAAAAGTAATTGCAACTTTATTTTTTTTATTCTCAGAATTATCTGAAAAAAAGAATTGTAAGATACGAACTCAGAGTTGCGAGAAAAAAGTTCGAATTATGAGATGAAAAGTCGCAGTTACCTTTTTATTTTTTTTATCCCGTGACGGAATCAACCTTCCATAGATAACACCTTTTAAGTTCTCAATAGTCCTCACAGTAGCTAAACAGCCCACTATTTTTCATGGCCAAATACAACCTTGACTTTATCCTCTTCTTAGCCTTTGGGTATTAAAGCAGCATGTGCGAAAAAAAAGAGTTTGAGGCTAGAACAAGGAAGGTTTCCAGCTAGAATCATTTGTGGTCCTCTCTTATTTTCTCCAACATTGCTAAGCTGCTTGTTTTTACATGCGGTTTCTTCTTCAGTAACATTAACAGTGTTAATTACACATCTCTGGTTGTGAAACAACACATGGTTTTTAATCAGCAACCACTGGAAAAGCTTTCTTTTATTGACTGGTACAGAAATGATCGCATTGAATGCCACGGAAAGGGCACGGGCGGAATACGGTCAGGTGTTCACAATGATGTAAACGGCTTGTTTGAGTAAAAACAAAAAAACTTAGTAAAAGATTCCCAAAAATAAAGACATTCCTAATGTAGTAGACTTAAAAGTCTTAATAGACTTTTAGCCACAAACAATGACACAAGAAACCCAGTACTCTAACCACTGCCTTGTTAATAAGTAACAATGACAAACAGCTTCTCTAATACACACACTTGATCCCTCTGATTTCAAAAAGCAAATAAAGTTAAATACAAAAATAATAACATGACTCGTGGTGGGTCGAAAGTACAGTATAAAAATCATACAATCAGAAGTGCTCAAATGTGGATGTTACATTTTTTCCTTCTCTCTTCACATGAGGCAAATGCTTTTTTTCTCTAGATGTCTCCTTTAGGAAGTGGTGTAAGGTTGGGAAAAGAAAAACAAGGGAATCGGGATGGAGCTCAGGGGTTGGGAGACTAGGGAGTGGAGAATCATAGGCCCTGTTCTTGATGTGACATGGTGGTCTCAGCAAACACCTCCGTTATAGACACCCCTCCCCCCCAACCCCCTATTCTCCTGTCAGGCTGAGGGAGATCATCTAGCCCAGGCTGGTGATGTTGGTCCTGCCACCAGGGGGCGCAACAATGCGCTGGGTGTTGCGGCGGGGGATGTTGTCGTCAATCTGAGCACCTGAAATAAGATAAATCAAAAGGAAATCAAATATTTAAACATGATGAACATTCCTGTGAAAGTGTTCAAAACGCTTCACAATACATTAATGTGAATAGGGCTGGGTTAGGGTTAGGGTAAAACCAAATTGGTTTTATTTTTCAGCTTGTTGATGTTAATACACTCAAAGACTCATCTCCTGAGCCACTGCACAAAGGAACAAAATGTAACCAATACAATAAGTCAGTGCAAATATTAATAAAGCTCAAATAGTCTTCAGTTTACACATCTGTTATAGGCTAAATTTACACTAGTGTGTGTTCGTTTTAAAACGCATAGCTCAGACAGACTCATCATTTCTATTCATTTTCCACTGATTTACTGATGAGCATTAGCAGCTTCCAGCACTGTTTGTCTGTGTTCTCTCTTCCATGATCGCTGCTCTGACTCAGAGGAAATAACTAGTGCTGCAGATTTATTGGCTCGCTGACGTTGATGAGATTAACCCCTTAGTTATTTAAAAATTTGGTACCGAACGACGAGACGTTTTTCGATACTCGATGGTATCGAGGCAATTCGGTCAGTCGGTGCCTAAAAAGTATCGAACTCGATACCCAGCCCTACATGTGAATGATATAAAAACAACAAATCTCTCACTAATATTACATTTCTGGCTAGTACTAAGCAAATAAAACTTATATTTTTTTATTGAATAATATTTAATTTATATATAAATATATATGTATTTTTTTTAATCTCTAATATCAGCCTATATGGTAATGAAATATCATGCATCTCTATTGATTTTTAGTTTATATTCTAAACTGCTCACCGGAGAGGCTGAAGCCAGACTGGTGCAGGTTGCGGACCGGTTGATCGGGCTGCTTGGCAGGAGAGGTTTTGGCAGAGGAAGCAGGGGTCATAGCTTTGGGCGTCACTGAGACTTCACAGACCGGCCCGTCGTAGAGACCCCGTGGGACGCCCCTCAGTTCAGCCAGCTACAAAACAACAGTGATAATATTAATAAAACAGCTAATCTGATAACCTCAAACATTTAGGAAACTACAAACAGTACGTTTTAATGCAGAAAGAAAACACTTAATAGGCATTAATTGACAATTATATTAAAAGGCATGAAAATTGAATTTATGAATAAGTATATTTACAGAATAAATGGGTAATCTATTTATTTATTTTTGGATAACAAACACACACACACACACACACACACCTATATATATATATATATATATATATATGCACTGTATATATATAATCAGTATTCTATGAAAAAAAATGAAAATAATAATAATAAAAAATTATAATCTATAATAAAACTAATAACATTCTATATAAAAACAAATTATAATATTCAAAGATCTTACAATAATAATAAACAATAATAAGATGAGAAACGCGATAGGCATGAATTGACATTTATATTAATAAGTAATGAGCATGAAAACAAAAAAATATAGTATTATAGAATATTTTTAGAATAATAGTCTATAAAAATAAACATCAATATTCAATAATAATAATAATGATAAACAAAAATAAAAGTAATATTCTATAAAAAAAATCTATAAAATAACAAATGGTAATATTTTGTGATTATTTTATTTATAAAATCTAAAAACAACAACTATAATAAACTAAAATAAACAGAAAATGTATATGTATATCTATATTTTAAACCAGTATTGCATAGAACAAAAATATAAATAATAATAATAGTAGTATTCTATAAAAATTATATTGTAATATTCAAAAACATTTGATAATAATACTAGTAATAATAATCAATATCACAATATGGTCACTAATCGATTGTGTATCCATAAACTTCAGATTAGAAAACCTGATCAAATAAAGGAAGTTGAATGCATAACTCACCCTGCTGCGAGCCTTTATCCTCTTGTAGACATAGTCAGGGAAGGGCTTGCGGGTCACGTAGCGGCCGGATCCCTCAGTGGTGTGGAGGTTCCCATCCTCCAGCACAATCTTTCCCTGGCTGATGACCACCAGAGGCGACCCACGCACCTCAGTGCCCTCGAAGATGTTGTACTCCACCGCCTGGAAAACAAGAAGCAACAACATGACACTAACAACACACAGAACAAGAACCTAATGTCGATTTACAAACATTTCCAATGTATAACATTTTATAAGCTTTCGATGGTTATGAAGCAAGAAATCATTGCACAAACAATCCAGATCCCTTCCACATAATGAAGCATGATATTCTGGTGGAAATGGAGGTGATGTCCCGTTGGAAATCATTATTGATCCTTTCAGACAGCTATTTAAACACTATGTTGAGGACAAGTTGTCAGAACCCAGACCAGTTTAGAAATACAGTACAAACAAGGAATGTTGGAAATGAGAGGGAGTGAATGAGGGAGGAAGTATATTAAAGTTTACAGGGTGTGTGTGTGTGCTGGCAAAAGTGTGACCACCCTTCTAAATGCTACTGGCGCTTTGCTAAAAGCAATACAGTACGTCCCACAAGACCTAAAAACAGCATGAGGTTATTCAGTGAGTCTGATAATCAACACACACACATGCTCACACACCTACTGATTAGCCACAGTTCTGAATGTAAAACAACTGTTTTCTTAACTTCTTTACTTGAGAACCGGAATTGTGTTGTAAATATTAAGACATAAAAGTTTCTTAAGCTCACAAAGACTGCATGTATTTGATAAAAAAATACAGTAAAAAAAGCAATATTGTGAAATATTATTGCAATTTAAAATAACTATTTTCTAATTCAATATATTTAAAAATGTAATTTATTCCTTGATGCAAAGCAATTTTTCGTTAATTTTCATGAATTTTCTTCAGTGTCACATGATCCTTCAGAAATCATTCTAATATGCTGATTTGCTGCTCAAGAAACATTTATTAGTATTATAATCAGTGTTGAAAACAGTTTTTTTCTGCTTAATATTTTCGTGGACACTGATACATTCTTTTGTAACAATGTAAAAATCCTTACTGTCACTTTTGATCCATTTAATGAATCCTTGCTTAAAAGTAAAAGTCTCTTTTAAAAAACTTTTAGTGATTATATCTCACATATTTTCTGTTTTATTCATTGCAAACCCACTTTTCTTGTCTAAAGCATAATTCTTACAGTATTTAGTGAGGTTTACACTTAAGGGGAAAAATATTTGCATATGGGATAAAAACAAGCCCATATATATATATATATATATTTTTTTTAAGTCCAGATATATTTTTAGAAACAAGTGTATTCTATATTATTCATTATTATTACATTACTTATTGAAATAGATTAAAAAGAAATATATTAAACTATGAATTAAATATATGAATAAATGATTAATTCTACTATTAATTATAAATGTAAATAATACCTATAATTTATATACAAATATCTTAATATTTATATTATATTAATACATTATTTACAATATTTATCTTACACACTTTTGCTTCTAAAATAAATCTCGGATGTTTAGATATGAAGTTAAACAAAATCCACCAAACAAAAGAACACAACCCGTGAAAGCCAGTGTGTTGTAAGCTCAAGAACACAAATAGAAGACATTAAAAAAGATCCTCATGGCGTTGTGCGCACTGTTACTCCTCCAGACCAGAAGGGAGACGTTAATTACCCAGCAGAGCTGAGAATGACATCACTCGCATGAGTAACATACCCACACCCAACATTCGGTCAGAACAACCAGTGTTCACTGGTCACGACTGCAAACTACTTCCACAAGAACACAACTTCACTCAATAATTAACTACACTGAGGGACGTTAATGTGATGGCATGAAAACATAAACACAATCAATAACCTGCACCAGTTAATCATTCACACTAGGACCAGGACCACGTGTTAGGAAAGTAACCAGGGTCCATTGTAAACACACGTGACATTGCTGACAGCAGATCTCACCAGATTGTGGCTCTTCGCTGAGATGATCTTCGTGAGTTCAGGGTCCCACAGAACCAGATCGGCGTCTGAACCCACTGCGATGCGGCCCTTGCGCGGGTACAAGTTGAAGATCTTAGCGGCGTTGGTACTGGTGACGGCCACAAACTGATTTTCGTCCATTTTTCCAGTTACCTACGAACGAGGGGGACCACAGGGAGAGATGACAGTTTGTCTCGGTTGTGTTTGTGTTCACTTGAGTGTGCTTGTCTGCTCAGCTGGGACTATTTAGGCTCACATGACCACTGACTGATTTTGTTTATATGACTGATGGAAGTGTAGATGCTGCAATGTGGTAGCTTGTGATTAAATGTCTCCCCTTATTATTTGCAGACTAGTATTTCTGCCTCACCACACATTTGTCCCAGATGATGGACATCCTTTCCTCAGTGCCATTGGTTCCTTCAGGGATGAGGGTAAAGTCGTCTTTACCCACAGCTCTCTGGGCGGTGTTAAAGGTGCAGTGAGCGCTTCCTGTTACCTGCAGATCCCCACTGAAGCATGAAGTGAATGAGGAGACAATTTTCAATTTTTCCACTTAGCGAACCCTTTTTCACAATTGTGTCCTGTTTAAATGAAACATTTCAGAGCAAACATGGTCCCAAAAATCCCACTTTTTAAATTCACACTGTTTTTGGCCCTAAAAGTGCTTCAGATTTTATTATTATTATTATTTTTATTTTTATTATTATTATTATTGTTGTTGTTGTTGTAAATAATAATGTGTATTTATTAAAATGATTTAATATTATATTTTGGATATTCCACTGCATATCTGGATATTGTTGTTATTATTAGTAGTAGTAGTAGAAGTAGAAGTAGTGGTAGTAGTAATATCATAATTATTTGCACTATTAAATTGATAACAATAAAATTAAATACTAAAAAATATTATGATATAATAATTATTAATATAATAAATAATAATAATAATAATTATGATTGTTGTTGTCTTTCAATTAATACTACTACTACTACTACTACTACTACTACTAATAATAATAATAATAAAA